CATCTGGACCTGATGGTATTCCAGCTAGATTACTCAAAGAACTAAGCAATGAGCTAGCCCCAGTGTTCAAAATACTCTTTCAGGCATCGCTTAACCAGGGCAGAGTACCAAAGGACTGGAAAGAAGCTAATGTCACCCCCCTATTTAAAAAAGGAGAAAAATCTGATCCAGGAAACTACAGACCAGTATCACTTACCAGCATCACATGTAAAATCCTAGAACACATAATATGTAGCAACATCATAAACCACTTAGACAAACATAATGTTATTACCCCATACCAACATGGCTTTAGGAAATATAGATCATGTGAAACACATAATATAATACTACTAGGACTAATTGATGATTTTTCAAAAAGTTTAGATAATAGTGAACAAATAGATGCTATTTTACTAGATTTTTCCAAGGCTTTTGACAAAGTTCACCACCATAGTTTGCTTAAAAAATTAAAATATTTCGGCATTAATGGTCCACTGCATCAGTGGATTAAGAATTTTCTGATAGGGAGAGAACAAACTGTAATAATAAATGTCTCTAAATCAACACCAATAACAGTAAACTCAGGTGTACCTCAAGGAACAGTCTGGGGTCCACTACTATTTTTAATTTACATAAATGATTTACCAAATTGCATTAGTTCAGGAACAAAAGTCAGATTATTTGCAGATGATTGCATAATATATAGAACAATAAAAACAACACAAGACACAGATATTTTACAAAGAGAATTAGATGAATTACAGAAATGGGAATCAACTTGGAGCATGTCTTTCCACCCAGAAAAATGTCAGTTGTTAAGAGTAACAAAAAAACTAAAACAAATTAATTCCACTTATCTTATTCATGGCAAACCAGTAACACAGACTAAAAACGCAAAATACCTAGGTGTTACAATAAATGAAAAACTGTCATGGAATCCACATATTGATGAAACTACAAAAAATCCAACAAAGCATTAGGGTTTATTAAAAGAAATTTCTATAAATCAAATAAGAACATAAAACTAAAATGTTATTTAACCTTGGTTAGGCCAATAATAGAATATGCATCCACCGTTTGGGACCCCTCATCTCAAGAAAACATTAAGAAACTGGAACAAACACAAAATAGAGCAGTGAGATTCATAACAAACGAATATTCACATTTGACTAGAGTAACACCATTAGTAAAATCACTAAATTTAGAAAGCCTTCAGGACAGAAGACTCAAAAGTAAAGTAGCAATTATACATAAAACACTGAACCATAATCTTCAAATACAAAAACAAAACTTAATAAAATACTCTGAAAGACACAAAAATAAAGGCACATTCCTTGTCCCCTATGCTAGGACAAATTTGTACAAATACTCCTTCTTCCCTAGTGCTATTAGAGCATGGAATGGGTTGCCTGAGCTAGCCAGAAAAACCAGTGACTTGGCAGAATTTAAGTCATTGGTTAATATGCATGACTAAATGCATGACGCATAGGACGTAATCATCTTCTTTTTTGAAGTAACGTCTGTATTATATAAGATAAGATACCACGAAATGCATCTGCACTTCTGCAGCATAGAATTAGATTTAGTTAAGGACTTATTAGATCTTAAATTTTATCTAAATCTACTACCTTTCAGAGCAGAATATTAGATCTATATGCCTATCTAGTCACGGTACGTAACCGTAAACTAATACTTAGACTTAGGACTTATGTATATAATTATTTTACTGGTATAGACTTTAGTTCTATTCTAATTCAAATATTTTGAGGTTAAAAAAAATTGACCTAGACCTATAATATAAGATATACTAAGACTTAGTAGACTTATATCTAATAAAAGATAGTCTAGAATAAATGTTAGTTGTTATTAGAAAATTTAGTAGATATAGAATAATATTTAATTTCATACTATAGGCGATAGGTCATTTAGATTATATATTCTAGATCAAGTTATAGTCATAGACCTATAGACTTATAATCTTATAATATAGATATTTACTTTGTAGAGACTAATGTACAATAATAGGCCTACACTCCAGATCTTGACAATCTAGTCTAGAGTTTAGATTGTTTAAATTTACACAAATAAATAAAATCAAACGTTTATTTTGGTTTTAAAATCAGATATTGAGATATGTCTAGCTAAATATGTATATAGTATATCTATATAATAGACTAACGGCTGACCCTATAGCTGCTATAGACTATAGCCCTATATTGACATTTTTTTTCTTTTTGTTTATTTTTTTTTAGTCTAAACCTCAAAGGAGCTTAGGGAAGTGATGGCAGTTGTGGGGTATGAACCAGATGACCATGCAGAGACCATCAGGGCGACCAAATAGTCCATCTTGCATACCACATAACCAGGTCCAGGTAGTGTTCGATCTTTATTCACCGATGCTCAATACATGTTAGATTTTATTTTTTGTAAATTTTAAAGGCTCTAGGTAATAGAATTAAATAGATCTATACAGATCTAGAAATTCTAGATCTATAAACTAGACATAGAACTAGATTATCATATTTAGATCTAGCTAGAATATCTAGAGGTCTTAATACTAATTATTATATTATAAATTTTTCTACAATTTGATCTAGGATTCATTCTAGAGGCTAAGCTAAGGCTTAGGCTTTTTATAATTTCATTGTGTGGATACTGTTAAAGAAAAAAATACAGTCTCATCATTAGGCTATAGCAACAGTTTTTCTTATACACCATACCATAAACATTTCAGGATTTGTCTTTATTGTAATTTTATTTTGTTTTTATTTTTTTTTTTTTTTTAGAATGTCAGTTTTCTTTAAGGGCAGCTGACAATAAGAATTGTCTATGTATGCACTACAGATGCAGTTCAATATCTTTTCTTGAGGAAGCCTGCTCCAAAAGGTACGAAGAAAAAAAATTTCTTTAAAATTACTGATCAGTGACCCCCACCCCCTAAACCAAATGAAAATTTTAATGAGTTCAAATCAATTAAATTTTAAAAATGTAAAATAAATGTAAATCTTATGAAACAATGGTCGAGACCAATATCTTCAGCTTTTTGTCATTTCACTGAGTTTTAAGTTCATTATTAATTTGCATAAATAATTATAATGAACATTTATACAATGAAAATAGGGCCTACATAGAATTGTTTTTGACCCTATGTCATTATATAGCAACAATCCTTCTTGTATACCATACCTTAAACGTTTTGTGTCTATTGTAATATTATTTTTGTTTGCATTCTTTAAACATTTTTTTTTTAACAAATCGCCACATTTTTCTTTAGGGGAAGTTGACATTAATCTTTTAGGTTAATAATAACCTATGCATGCAGTACAGATGCTGTTCATCATCTTTTCATAAGCAAGCCTGCTCAAGAAGGTAAGAAGAATTAAATTTTGCTTTTAGATTACTGATAAGCAATCTGAAAGAAAATTGTTAATGGGATGGAATTGATTAAAATTAAATGTAAATAAAGAAATGCTATCCTAAATTTGAAATATGCTGGTTGTGTTTTTTTTTGTTATGTTTTTTTTAAGTTGCACTGTGATCATTGTTTATTTTAATTCTAGAATAACTTTTCAGCCAACTTATTTTTAAAATTACCATCGAACTCTAATTACAACAGAATATAGTTGTATTAGTAAGAGCCTGTGATAAAGTTAATATAAATAAATTGGACAAAATATAATATTGAATGAATTAAAGCCTAGCTAGATCTAGTCTGCCATTGCCATTGGTAAAGTTAATATAAATAAATTGGCCAAAATATAATATTGAATGAATTGAAACCTAGCTAGATCTAGTCTGCCATTGCACTTTTAGCATAGTCAAATACCAGTGCCACATTTGCTGACACCAATTCATAACATTTAATTTTAGGAGAAGATTGAACTCCAAATTTTGAAATACCATTAATTTTTGTGTTGCTTAATAGGCTTTAGAAGCAACCTAATTTTTTAGCACCATTTATCATCAAGGGCTGGAAATATAACCGTTAAATAGTATGTCCACATATATAAATTTAAGGTCTTCTGATGTTTAATTGTTAGATTTTTTTATTATTAATACAGCTTGAAGGTAGTTTTGTTACATGACTATAATATTTTTTTGTTTGTTTCTTGGAGTTGCTGTATGGAAGTCAAAATATGAATTATTGCCACCAGTCTAGAAGTCAGCTTGTAAAGAATGCTATGACTTGAATGAAAATGCTGTCTTGATATCTTGTTTGTGCTGTTATATTTGTCTTTTGTGTTGGTTAATTATTCCATGAATAAAAATTTAATTGTGTAAGTTTGATTTAAGAATGAATGATCAGAGCATGCAAGTCTTGTATAGTACATTACCAAAAATTGTATTGTTTGCTAGTGTTCAAACCCAAAAATGTAATATAACATGTCCATTACTTTATAAATATGTTGACATTATAGCTAGATGTATATAGAGATCATGCACTGATTCCATTATTCATTATAATTTCCAAACAATTATGTCAAATAATTCTATTGCTAGATCTAAATCATTACTGTGAAAGTAGACCTATGTAAAAGGTTAAAAATCTCATACTAAGCCATTGAGCTGCATCTGAACAAAAGGGCATTATAAACCAAAAATCACTAATGAATTTGTTTTAAACTACAGTATTGAAAAACATTAAAGATTATCCCTAATTAAGCCATAATAAAATTTAATGACTGAACCATCGGAGACAGTATTTGCATGATAATACCTAATTGAGCCCTAATAAATATTTCAGCTACTAAACCATTAGGGCCAGCATCGGACCGATAATGGCACAATAAGGGTTATCCCTAATTGAGCCTTAATAAATATTTCAGTTACTAAACCATTGGGGCCAGCATTGGACCGATAACGGCACAATAGGGGTTATCTCTAATTGAACCCTAATAAATATTTTAGTTAATAAACCATTAGGGCTAGCATCGGACACAATAAGGGTTATATAGTGGTTTGAATCTTGTCAAGTGTGCTAAGAGTGTAGATGGCAATGACAGAAACTAGCAGAAATGGTTTGAATCTTGTCAAGTGTGCTACGAATGGACACGGTTATGAATGCAGCTGTCTTAATAAACTCCTTGACTTGTAGGTGCCAGTTTAGTTATCTACACTAATGTAATAACAATATAATAAGAGAAGAGATGGATTGTATAACACAAATATCAAGTCACTTAATCCTGGTCGTGAAGGAACGAAGACAGTCTTAAAGTGTCCCTAAAGATGCAAGTGATCCTGTGCATTTGGAGGACAGAAAAAAATTGACTTCATTTGATCTCAATTGAAGGCGTCAATTCAATTATAATTAGAGATAAGTCATTGATACACGTAGATACTGCATAGACAACTAAGAACAACATAGTTATTTTGTTGACTTTGTTTATTTATCTCTTATGTACATTCTATAGACAAATTCTCTGACAGTACATGTCCGGCTTATACACACACAAAATATTTTTTTGAAAATTTTATCACATTATAGTGAAGATATTCATGTCTATAGCATATCTTTCTCATTGTCTTTGCACGCACCTCTTGATTCTAGATGATTTCAGTTCAATCCCAGTCTCGCTATATGTGTATGACTTAACATGTTCACATTATTTTGATAGTTTCACATTTTAATCATCCACAATCAAAGATCCATAAGAACAAAAGATACAGGCGTTTGGGTTGGTGCCGTTGCTGATAAAGCACTGAAAGCAGGCTTGTCTCCTGGTACTCTCGCTATCACCACCAAAGCCGCCAAGGGGAAACTGGGCCTCTGATACTGAGAAGGCGTATACAGAGATTAAGACAATGATGGTGAGAATGAGAAGGCCGTTCATCTTGGCTGTAAGAGATTGGAGGTTCTGGAGTCGAGTTGTCTGTAGAAAGAGATAATAGATAATGTGAAAAAACAAATTAAATTGGTACAACAGACATGAAGTTATTTAGAGTATCATTTCTCAACCTGAAAAGGGGGAGGGGGGCAGGACGTCTTGACAGGCAAGAAAGGTTGAGAGGCAAAATGTCCTGAAAAAAAGGGTGAGGCATGCACGCTGAACTGTCGTTAGGTTGTCTCGGGTTCATACCATGCCCGCTGCCAGATTTAAATATTAACAAAGTTAAATGAAAATGGTTAAAAAATATAATATTTGATGTAACAGAAGTTGTTTCAGCTTCAAAGACCATTTTCGCAAGAGGCACCTGCAAAAATATCGATTCAAGACGCTATTCTGCCCGATTTTATTAAGTCAAAAAGGTCGCATTTCTCCGTATCAAAACAACAACAACAAAGTCTGCGACCTCTTACTTATCATGAAGATGATCTACTACGACCACGTCTACTAGGCTACAGATTTATGTTCACTACATTTGCCTCGAATGTGCCTCACTTAATGGTGTTGGTCAGCGCTGCCACCTTCTTTTACTTTGACATACTCGTCTCACCCCTTTTCAATACAATTATTTCGACATGTACTCTTATTACTAGTATCACAAAATGTGCGTTGTATTCGCCTAGAGAATACATATCTTAAGCTCACAACGAAGGCTAACGCATGGCTCATGAGAGGGAGATTACACCGCTCCTCCAGAGCCCCCTAGCTAAATCTTATATCTCTTTAACCCTATTTCCAGAACTTTTTTTTTTCTAGTAGGCATAACAAAATTATAGTTTTACAATTCTGTGTTTGTGCGTATTTCTTTTTGAAAGATTCGCACCTCGAGCTGCAGAGAAGTTGAGATATTTGCTCATCTCGCAAAAAGGGAAACTCAGTTGCCATTACCATGAAGCCCTAATAAATATTTTCTAGATGATCGGAATGTTTTGTATTCAAGTGGCACATTTTAATGACATCATATTTCTTTAATTAAAAAAAAATTGTGTTCTATGGGGCAAATGATGTAAAAGTCAACTGTTTCTGTGGCCTACAGTTAACGAGAGTGTCATGTGGCTAGAACAACGATCAAGCGCCCTAAAATGCCCAGAATTCAAAATCCAAGTTTCGAACCACAGATCCCCGGTTCGTTAGCCTAGCGCTTCACCACTCAGTCACCACTTCCTCTTTATAGTATTTGTTCAATAAATCGTGTTAGGTTACATTGTTGTGTTTGGTACTTTCCAAGGCTCAAATGTTTTTTCAGCTACGGTATTCTATGATTTTTTTTCTAAATAAATAAAACACTATTATTACTTAAGAGAATCTAAGACAGGCAGGTTAAATAAATGCTTTACTTACCGTAGTTAATGTATTGTTAGTAATCTAGTTGCTTTCTCTTCACAAAGTTAGCTGTGACTTACTACTCTTTATCTCTGGGCTTAAATACTCTTTCCCAAGTCCTAGTTTCATCGCAAATTTCACAAATATTATTGTAAATAATGACATCCATTTCGTTTCAGTTCAGCTTATAAACACACTTTTTCTGTTACAATCATTTCGGCTTCCTTATTATTGTGTTAAATTCTCCCATGTTAGTCTCCATGTGTTGTGAACTTTTGTTATGATCTCTACGTTTTGAAGATTCTTTTTAAAAAAAGTTTGTTCCGAGTGATGTATAACTGGTCTTTGATCTTTTTGTCATTCCCGGACACATGACATCCGGTCTGTTTTCCACACTACCTGTGTCAGTTCAGCCTGTCAACATACTGGGAACATTTAGAATGTCTTCGTTAAAGACATGGGCACTGCAAAAAAATTTTAAAAAATGAGTTGCTTGTTTTGAAAATTGAGATCTAGTGGTATTTTGTTTAACATCTTGGTTTTTCAAAGTCTCGGAGTTTGTTTTTGTTGTGAGTTTTGTTCTGAATCTCTTTTTAGAAATTTGACGTGACGTAAGGGTCTTCCAAAATAAAGTGTCACTTTTACATGTCAACAATAACTGCTCTGGTGAAAATTAGCACCTGTTTTTGTTAACCCAATTCCATTGTTGTTTTGATCCAAAACTCTTGTTTTCAGTTCTATGATACAAACATTTTTGTTTGTATTTTTTGGTTTTTACTTGAAATCTGAAAAAAAAATTAATAAAGAAAGGGAGACGCGGTGGCTGAGCGGTAAAGCGCTTCATTTCCGAACCGGGGATCCCGGGTTTGATTCCTGGTGAAGAGTGGGATTTTTAATTTCCGGATCTTGAGGTGCCTGTGAGTCCACACAGCTTTAATCGGAACCTCACATTAGTTGGGGAAACGTTGAGGTGTTTGGTCGTTCTGCTGGCCACATGACACCCTTGTTAACCGTAGGCCACAGAAACAGGTGACCTTAACATCATCTGCCAGATAGAATACAAGGTAGTGTGGGTGTTACGTGTCCGCAATGACAAAAAGATGAAAGGCCAGCTATGCATCACTCGGAACAACCTTTTTTAAATTTTCAAACCGTAGAGATCATAACAAAACTTCAGAACACATGAAGTGTTGTTTTCCAATGGCTTTATTGAAACAACTTTGACATTGTTTTTCTTTATTAAGTTATGGACGTGAAGTGTTGATAGTACTAGACACTCGTTGTTTTCAATGAAAGTCTATTTTTTTGTACAACTTCTTCGTTGTCCAAATAATAACATATATTAAACTCTTTTTTCGCTTCCAGCTTTTGTTTGTGCAGTTTGCATAAAAAATCTTCAAAGCATATTTGTATTTTTTTTAAATATTAGGGCACTTTTTGTTATTCAAACCTATAGGCTTCCCCCATGCTGGCCATTCGCACTTTTATACAGTGCTCTTTTTTGTGACGGTACGCACCGGTACGGCATACCGGCACCCTTTTTTTTAATGTGGGAAAAATTAACCCTTTTCTTGTATTTTAACGTTTATTATTCATTTATAAGTACCGGGTAGTTAAAAATTAGGCAATTCATCACTGAGTACCGGCACCTATTTTTTTTTACACAAAAATCGCTGTATATAATTATACACTTTTGGTGGGGGGGGGGGGGGGGAGGAGAATGTATAGAACAATGATACTAAAAAATATACTATCTAAAAAATATATTAACTCAAAAAACAAACAAACATAGAATGTAAAACATTTTTTAAAAAGGTTATATCTGACAATGTCATATGCTGCCCGCTCAAGGGTCCGCCCAACATGTGTCAGCTGTTTGATAAGCAATACGGGTAGAGACAGATTTCAATAGTTCAGGAAGTATAAAAACAAACAAGCTATGAACCACAATTACCATTTTACTTACACCACAAACTAAAATTTAAAAAAAAAATCTGTAATAAACATTGTAAAGATATCAATATTAATTAATATTATTAATTTACTTTATCGTGGTTTTTTTTTAAGCTGTCCTCTCTCATAGATACCCCACAGCCTCCTGCCCCCCCCCCAACCAAAAAAAAAAAAAGGTTGCTGGATAAACCTGTGTTTTTTTAACACAGATCTGAATCTTCTAAGCAGGTGGTTACCCGATCTTCTAGTCATACATATTTATTGACTATTTGACCATTGTCTAACAAGGTCTTGAATTATTTGCTTGTTAAGAAATGGATTACGAACAGAGGCGGCGCACTATATCAAAAGATGATGGGCTTTACTAAATGTTGATGGCATGACCAGTTCCATCATTTTAAGAATGAACTAAAATATACAAGTGCATTTACAAACGTATAAAAGAAGAGAGGGGGGGGGGGTACTTAACTTTATTTAATCAGTTTTTATGTAATAGAAAAAGATGTTCAGGTTTGAGAACAATTTAAAAACCAAACTATCTTTTTTTTTTTTTTGTTGTTTGTTTTTTCAGTTGAGCTGTAAGCTCAAAATAGTTATCGTCTCTTATAGTTGTTTTTTTTTTTCTATTAATCCCATTATGTAGGTCTATTATCAATGGGAAGGGGTGGGGGAAAAATGTGTATTAAAAAAAATCAGTAAACGTATATTAAAAGAAAAAGTAAAGTTTCCCTTTCAGACCTTGCGATCTATAGGGCTGATGATCATCTGTTCTATTTTTTTTTTGCCAACGGTTAACGAGTAAGGTATCATGTGGCCAGCACAACGACCAACCGTCTTTACTTCCCCAACGAAAGTCAGGTACCCATTGGAGCTGGGTGGACTCAGGGGCGTCCTAAAAATCACGAAATTCAAAATTCCTAGTCTTCACCGGGATTCAAACCCAGGACCCCAAGTTCGGAAGCTTAGCGCTTAACCACTCAGCTACTGGACCGTGAATCCAAAGAAAAAAGAATCTCTAAACAAGCATATTTCCTTTTTAGACTTACTGATGCTTTATTGCAAAAGTCAAACACACTAAAAGTATCAATCTAAAAAAAATGCTTAGACTAGACTTAATGGTTCATTGCGCAGCTAAATGTCTGCTCACTTAAGAGCCACCGATAATGGATCAATATGAAGAAAGGCATGCACCAGTGGACAAGTCCATTAGGAAACTGACAGCTGAATCA